TATTGCCTTGAAAAAATTAATTTATTTAACAGGTTCAAGCTTAAATAACTTTGTATATGAGTTAGTTACTTTCTAATCCACAGCAAGTAAGATGAACTCAAACAGCCCAATAATATAAATGGTTTCCAATGAGCTGGCAATGCTCTAACTATTTTGAGTTCTGCTCACTCTTAAATTATTTGGGTTAACTTGAATAAATTATAACACCTCTTAAGTGGACTGTTTCATACAATGATTAGTAAGTGGCTTATGTAAGTCCAGAATCACTCATTTCTGAGGAATCAGAATCCAAACTTCACATTTACCATGACAGTATACTATGACACAAAAATAACATTTTGCAAAAAGAATTAAATTTTTAATTCGGAAAAATAAGCCAAGTTTACATTGGAAAAATTTTAAATTGGAAAAAAAAAAAACATAAGTTGAGTTTAACCTAAACCAACAAAAATGCAGAGAAAGCTGGGAAGCTTTTTGGACAAAAGACTCTGATCTGTAGGACCCAAATGAATTGATCTTAACTAGATTTACCTCCTTAACCCCTTAACGTTCCAGGCTTATTATATACTGAGGCTTATTATTCATTAACTACAAGGACTGCAAACTAATGAAGTGTGTAATAAGGACTTGGGCCTGCCGACAGGCCCATAGCTTTAAAGGGGTTAAATAACAATTATACAAGAAAAGGTAGATGTTACTAGATTTGTATTAGTAATTTTAACATATTTAACCCAAAAATTAAGTTAGTGCAATTATTACATTTTACAGAGTTTGTAACTCTTACAACTGTGAAAATCTAACATTACTGTAAAAATCTGGGTAGGACTTTATAATAACAGGGCAAAATAAATAGCAAATCATTATCTGATAGTTTGTTAATAAAGGTTAATAATTAGATAATTTCTGCATATGCTTCAAAAATGCTACAAATTAACTACTAGCCATTTACTTTGTGATATTCAATATTTGATAGAAATCTATTTATTATTAGCAGTTTTTGAATAAATACAAGGGTTTTCATGTTTAGTTTTTCTGTAAACATTTGTTTTAAATTAATTACATTTAAGTGGACAATATATTTTTAAAAACACATGTTAAAGTTGTCACAATGTGTCACCTTACAGTGACATTTATTGGGTGTCTGTATTTACTACGAAATATCCATTTCTTATATGTTTTTACTATAGTTCTACTGCTTAATATCTAGAATGGCATTTAGTGTTATTAGATTGGATTGTCTGGGTATGTGTCCTCATGTTACCCGAAATAAGCACTTTGGAAATAGTTCCGCAAAACTTATCCAGTTAATATCTATAACCTGTTAGGCATTTCAGTGTTTTAATTAGACTGTCTTCATGTTACTCAAACTAATTAACATAGCACTTTGAAGACTGTTCCACATACTCACCAGTTAATATCTAGAATGTGTTGAGCATTTCAGTGTATATTAGTTCAACTGTTTTGGAAATCACCATCAATTTACCCAAAACAATGAACGCAGCACTTTGGAGATTGTTTAGTTTTTCCAAGTGATTTTCCAGTTATAATATAGTTCGCTACATGTATTAATACTTAGAAGATGTTAGGCATTTCAGTGTAATTAGGTTTGATTGTCTGGGTATGTACCGCCATTTAACAACACAGCACTTAGGAAATTTTTCTGCACACTTACCTGTTAATATTTAGAACATATTTAGAGCATTCCAGTGTAATTTGGTTGGACTCTACGGATACATATTCAGCATTACCCCAAATAATTAATACAGCGCATTTGAAAATACTCCACACATGTACTCAGGTATTATCTAGAACTTGTTGGGGATTTCAGTGTAATTTAGTTTGAATGTTTTGGAACCCACCATCAATTTTACCCAAAATAACTAACACAGCACTTGTTCCACACAGTTATCCAGTTAACTTCTAGACCATGCTGGGCATTTTAGTGTATTTTAGTTAATGCATATGTAGCAATTATATAATTTCTAACAATTATTAACAAACTATTATTTACTATTTTTCAGTTATGACTGACTTTTGACAGGCAGTGTATATGTTCTAACATTAAAGGCCCCTTGACCACGTATTTGAGTAACCCATAGAAGCCTGGGAGTCTCTTTATGCCAGGGGAAGCCAAATGTCAAAATATTTAGTCTCCCTATTGTCCAAGCATACAGTGCACCACCCGCCCCGCCTCCATTTTCTTTCTAATAGGCGCACAAGTCTGGCCAGGCGACTCACACGACACTGAGTTTTTGCTTATAGTGGTTTGGAAGTGAAGGGTAAGCAGGGTTTCGGCTGCACTCATGTAGGGTTTAAATAAGTTGCTGTGTTCTTCTGCTCCCAGCTCTGGTTTTGAGTTTTGCATGCAAGTCCACTCACTTCATTATTCACATTATATAACCTCACGAGATCCCAACAGTCATGCCGTTTTGATGTAATGAGACTTGAATGACAAACAAGACTGCCAAGTCAATCTTGCGCTATTTATGAACTGTGCCAAGCCAACATCTAGAATCCATGGCTTTGGATGAAATATATTACCATTCACTTCATTATCTTTTAAGTGGAGCCTATTACAGAGTGGGAACTCTGTTTGAAGGCTACTAGGTTTTATCTATCTATCTATCTATCTATCTATCTATACATATATATATATGTATATATATATGTATATATATATATATATATATATATATATATATTAACAAAACATTAGCATTTCCTGGCATAACCTGTTCATAAACTCTCAATTACTGCTTTACAAGTATGTTATTGAATGCTTATGCATTAATTATGACGTCCCTATATAGATAACTTTTCTGATAAAACCCATTAAAATGAGTGTTTATATTATAAATTTTTGTCTGTTTTAAAAATTATGTTAAGTTCAGAGACCATGAACAATAAACTTTTAAGATGAAATGTAATCAATTTTTTAGCGTAGTTTAATGGCAGTAAATTTGAATTTAGTTTTAATCAAAAAAATTTCACCTTCACTGTCTATATAAATATTAACAACAGTATATATTATATTAGTAAAAGCATATATATATATATATATATATATATATATATATATATATATATATACACACACACACATATATATATATATATATATATATATATATATATACACACACATATATATATATATATATATATATATATATATATATGTATGAATTTAGCTCAACAGAGTAGAACAATGTCATGGCTACCTGTATAGCACTATAGCTTATGCGATCAGTGTAATGAGGTCATTAACACCATTAGCAGAAGAACAGCTCAGATCTCTTCCCCCTCCCCACCCACCTTCTTAAGCTTAACTATAGCAGTGGGGGGTGTGATAATGGTAACAAATGAAGTAGGAGAAAACTAATGAAATAGCCCATTTCAGACACGCTTTTAGAGCGGAACGCCCTTACTGACTCATTCGGACATACACACAGGAACACACACGGCATACTGGAGTCTGGACCTAACGGGAGGGGTCTCAGGGGAAGCGTGTTCCCTGTAAACATGAGTTACATTTTCTGTTCCCCCTCAATTTTCCCTCTTAAATCAGCTTAGATTGTGATTCTGATCCATGACTGTCTGGAGCTCGTATTGGTGTCACTACTGGAGCTTGAATGAAAACTCTACTGTGCTCTTTAGAAACCCGGTCAGCCCTCCTGTCTGTTTTTCTTCCTCATTTTCTCTAAAAAAAAGAAAAGACTGTGTAACATATTTAAGGTACTTACAAAAACATAGCAATGTTTGAAAAGCTTTTTTGATCTATTGCTTTACTGATCTAGTAGTCTATTTATATATATATATATATATATATATATATATATACAAAACATCAGTAGCTATGAGTAAAATATTTTTCTATGTAATTATTTTTAATCTATATATTTCTTTTGTCTAATTATTTTTTATTTTTGATATCTATATGTCTATAATAAAATGTCCATCTGTTCATCAACATCTCTAGCTATGAAATAAACGTTCATGATATTTAAATGATATCTATTAAAAGATATCTATCTATCTATCGATTGATCTATTGTTTATTTACTGCTTTCCAAGCTAAAGTTATCACTTCTTTATTTGATCCATCAAGACAAATGATAACTATCAATAACAACCAGATTTACTAAATGGAACTCAAATTATTCCAAAAATTCATTTGAAACCTAAGTAAGGTAGTAGAAATACTCAAACATTAGTGGAACACACATTAGTTTCTCCGTCCTTTATGTAGGTCAATATTTATTATTTTGTTCATGTCTGTATTTTGTTGTATTTCGCTTCTTTTGGAGGCCAGCTTGAAGTCTTCTAGGCACGGAGTGTGTGAGTTTACACAACTGATGCCAGGTTTGTTTGATGTTCTCTTTCGGATATCCAGAGTGTGGCAAGTTTTTGTCTCTTTCCATGATTTCAATGCATTTTTCACACATGATTTTTGAGTATTTACATTTTTTTCACAGACATTTTGTCACCAAGAGACAATATTTTTTGATAGATTACTTCAACCCAGTATTTTGTAAAGCAATAACTTTCGGAATATTAATGACATTTTAAGTCCCCTGTGCTGGACAGTGGGTTCACAGGAAGAGCCAAAGTGCTGATTTCTGAGTTATGATATAGCTGAAATGACTCACTTTTGAATACCATAAATCAAACTTTCTATAATACATTAACACTGTGCTTTATTTGATTCAGCAAGTGTAAAAAAAATCATTTGAAGTTTTAAGATAAAAAAAAAATCAATTACAAAATCCTCTAAAAACCATGGAGTAAAGAAGCCCTGCAGAGACTTTGCCTGCAGATGAAAGCATTATTCAGAGCTCTCTTAAACACTGAGAGGGGGGCAGAGGGAAGGGAGACGGGGGCAGAGGGAAGGGAGAGGGGGGCATTGGAGGGGGGAGCGAAGGTGGGGTGAGAAAGAGGAAGGCGGGGACATTTTTGCCAGCTCTTTCATTCATTGGCTCACTGCACGCTTTGGCCGACACGCGAAAGCCAAAAGGTGCAGAGGGGTTCCTATTGGCTCTCAGTCTCTTGCTGTCTCCCGCTGAGTTGCATTTGAAGCAAGGCAGTGAACAAGAGGATCACTCTCAGCTGAACTGTTAGAAGGCTGGGGTTTTTTTGCAGAGAGAGCATTCTTGCACATTTCAACCCATTGACTTCACGTTCCAGCAAAAAACAGGCACCGGGTTTTTTCTGCCCTCATTCCTCACTAATATCTTTTGTTGTCCGAAAGAGTAACCCTTGACTTTTCTTGGGACTCCCCACTTCTGGAGGGCTGCATTTTGTTAGGCAAACCTGCCCCTTCATGATGAAGCTGTTTGTACGTTTGTGCCCGTGGAAGGCCGTTGCCACGGCGCTGATGGTCATGTCCCTGGCATCTCTGACCCGATCCTCGGAATATGAGTACCTGGGCTGGAAGTCGGACTTGTTCAACAATGGGCGCATCTACGACAAGCCGCCGCAGTGCGTGGAAATCCCGGACGACCTGCGACTGTGCCACAGTGTTGGGTACGGCCAGATGCTGCTGCCCAACCTGCTGGAGCACGAGACCATGACTGAGGTCAAGCAGCAGGCAGGCAGCTGGGTACCCTTGGTGCACAAGAACTGCCACCCAAGTACCCAGGTGTTCCTGTGCTCTCTGTTTGCACCCGTCTGCCTGGATCGGCCCATCTACCCGTGCCGGTATCTCTGCGAAGAAGTGCGAGATGCCTGCTCGCCCATCATGGAGGCCTTCGGCTTCCCTTGGCCCGAGATGCTGACATGCGACAAGTTCCCTCAGGGTGACGTGTGCATCAGCGCGCCAAATGACACCAAACCCTCCGTAGCCACTGGTGAGTTCCTTTCAATATGTTCCACTAGGAATCTTATTGGGGATTCATTTTGCAAGTTCTCAGTTGTAAGTTTTTGTTCTTGTAAGCCCTTCCACCAATAGTCCATGCAAACTGTCTAAATCACGTCTGTTAAAAATGTATCAAATAACCTGTGGAGGTATCCTGTGAACTACTTGCCAATACTTTGGGTATATTTCGCTTAATGTTCCTCAAAGTGTCTTCCTTGGTATAAAGAGCAGGTTTTGCCTAAAAATAGATTTGACACTTTTCTTTTCCAAACGATTGTTAACAGCACACTTTGAAACTACTTTGGAGCAAAGAGTGCAGGCATCACAAGAAGTCACTATTTCCAAGGCAGTGTTGTTTTAGGCGGTTAGTTCCTCAGTTTGCAGTGATAATGGAAAGACCTCAGCATGGTTCTACTTAGCAGCTCCCGAGAAGCATTTCAAACATTCAGGAAAATGGTTTCTATTTACCGGAGTCACTTTACCGGTGTATACAAAGGCACTTTACAGAACTGATTCCCCTCGACAAAGCGTAACATAGCTTTTGGCTTTTCTGAAGCCCACAGTTTAGTCTGGCCCCTTTTAAATCCTAACAGTAACACTACATTTTGCCCCTAAAAGGCATGTAAGGGCATGTTAATTGTGCATACTGTATACATTTAGGGTCAATTTACCCACACTCCGTTCTCCCACACCTTTTGCTTGGTGTGAGAAACAACACTTCAACTTTTTCTTAAAAGGCGGTGCGATGTTTTTTCAGTGGCCAGCATCTGTTTGCGGCTTCTCAGCTTCAGCGAACCCACCTTTTGTTACTTAAAGGCCTTGTTATTTCTGCTAAAAGGTGTTTTTTCACCAGATCTTTATCCTGTATTGACTTGAGGGAAAATGAGGGAGTCTACAGTAAAAACATTGAACCGTTTTTTTTACCCACAGCCAAACTTCTGTCTTTATCCTCAAAGTTTTTAAGAATAAATACCTGCTGAAAAAAACAAGGTTTCGTAAGCATAAAGCAGCTATGTGCAATTTTTATATTATAATATCATAGATTTAGCATCAACCAGCCTGGTATGACCAGTAGACTTCGCCTAAATAATAATTTCATAGTTTTCTTTCCTAAACTACTGTTTAAAGAACTAATTAAAACTGTTTTGGGCCTGAACACCTGAGCATTTTGAGTGCTAAAATGCATTATTCCTAATGTAGCAGTCGCTAATACTGTTGCAAATATATTTACATTGTTTTCTTTAAAATAAGTATGATAAGCAACTGATATGTTAGCACATTGCAAACGGACAAAGAAATCTGGCTTTGATTTTAAAACCATTTTGATGTCCCCAAACTTTTGAATATTTTGCGTATTCCCAGAAGACAAGCGAATGCGGTCGCAAAGCCTTGATAGATTAATATTTGAGCACTTGTTTAACAGCTGGTAGCAACTGATTGCAGGGTGTTAGCTGAGGTCCAGCACAACGCTGGGACATTTTCCAAAAAACAAAACCATTATACATAGATTGATTTTCACTTTGGCGAATGGTCTCTCCTGCCTTGCTGGAGCATGTAAGAAAAGACCTGTGGAGGAAAGAAAGGAGGTTTTAAAAGATAGCGACCTGCCGTGCCGAAGCTTTTTTTATGGGGGGGGGGAGGCGGTTTGACTGCAGCAGTCCTGGGGCAGGCCTCCCCGCTGGGCTGCTGGGCCAGCTCTATTAGCATCGCCTTTCATAAGCTAATGCAAGCAAGAACAGGGGTAGTGGAGTAGCAGCTTTTTTATTCAGCTGGTGGCATCTGAAGAAAAAAAACTTACATTTCAATCAAAAACAGTGCCTCTTTTTCTCTTTCCCTTGACTTTTCCCAGTTTCTTGAGACCAGCTACATCTACTCTTGCTGACGTCTTGCATTCTGTCCTCTCAGAATATTCAAAATCTTCTTCGGTAAAAGTAGTGAGTTGCATTTCATCCATGGAAACATTTCGGGCCTGCTGGTTCCATCTCCGACAAGGGAAAGTACGGCTGCATGATGTAAACGTCTCATAAATTATGTGGGAATTTCCACGCAATCAGTGTAAATAATTATGAGGTTGGAAAGGAGGGGTGTTACAAAGCTGGGAAGTAGGATGAAACTCTTTGCTCTTTAATGGTTCTCAGCTTGGATGTTCGCTTCAAAGTAAAACATTTGAAGAGCGATTCCACTGATTTCTGCATGATTCTGCAGAAACGGTTAAATGTGAAATTGTAGAGATACATACAGACTCAGATTTCTTTACAGCAGTGGTGATAGGAACCAGGGGTCGCCATGTCTACAACAAAACAGGTTCATAAGGGAACCTAAAGTAGTTTCTCTATGAGAGAAGCCATTTTGGCACTTTTTAAGCATTCCAATTTTAAAACAACCATGCCTCGCTGTCTTAAAAAAGTGACCATTTGACAATGTAGTGGTATCAAATAGCATAGAAGAACAGGTCAAGTAAAAGTCTCCACAGCATGGTTGGTTAAAATTGGCCACTTCTTGGACCTTTTGGACCACACAGTCTTCCAGGGTGCTTCAGCCTTCATTTGTACTTACATTGCAGCAATAATGCCTAAATTCATCTGAAGCATTGGTACACTAGCCGATTACCATGCTTTAAGACCATAGTACACTCTATAGCTATATATCGCTGCTGTTGGAACAAAACCTTGTATCTCCATTTTATGTACATTGTATGTAAATTTTATAATGAATAGACCAAAAGTAATGGCCTAAATGACTTAGAAAAAAGTCTGGTTCCATTGATTTACATTAAAAGTAAAGTATGTTTTTTCCTTCTCCTGTAAAGTTACCATTTTGGAGATACAAGGTTTTGCTCTGACAGCAACGATATACCCTTTTGTAGCTTCAAACAAATTGACACTTTTTTGTCCCAAATGTACTTGTTTACCCAAACCGTGCTTCGCTTACGAGGCTAATGTAGCTAACAAGTAGTGGAAGCTTATAAACCTTCAGTATATCATGTCTAAAGCACAGCACACTTGCTTCAAACCCTGTTGAGTTGCTGAGTAATCTCATGTAGACTTGCTGATGCAGTTTCTGACGCTGTATGACAAGCTGTTATCAACCGAAACAGATAAAAGTACATATAGCTCCAAACAGAAGCAACCATCTCAAAGTCCAAATTTTGTCCGTACTGTGGCCCATGTTTTGGTTAAAAAGCTTGCTTTTAGTAGCACTTTTTATGGTTCAGTAAAGAAGATTTATAGACGCTTAACGTGTCTTTAACTGACTTTCAACTAAGTATCTCCAGCCCTGATTCTAATCCAAATCCTGGCCCTAATATTGTTGATAATCAATCGAGTTACAGAATATTCTTCACAAGTTGAGCATTTCCAACAATCCACCAATCAAGGTGACCATCAACCTTTTCTTTGGCTCTAAATAAAACCATTTTGTACAGAATAAAATAGAGCTTGACAGTCACAATAATTCCCAGCACCTCTGCAGGGTATTGTGAAAAGAGAAAGCTTCTACTCTTGGAAAAGAAAGGGATCAGGCCATTTGCTCGCTGTTTTTTTGATGATGGCCTTTAAACGAGGCCTGCGGGGGAACTCAAGAGAAGGCACTAAAATGGAACCACGATTCCATAAGCTGCAACACTGAACAATACAGCCAAAAGCCTAAATTCCATTAAAAACAGTTTTGGTACATTTGAGGGCCCAGAAGCTTTTAAAGAGATTCTCACTCCGTTTGTTGGTCCCCATTACCACAAATCACGCAGGTCGTGTGGAGGTCTTGTTGAGGACAGGTTTGAAGAGGGTGATAATTTGTGTTAAAAGGACAACATGAGCTGGAAAATGTAAGCACCTGCTTTCAAAAGCTCTTTTCACCTCCGTGTCACTTTCACAAGGATCCGCCAAATAGCTGCAACTGATATGACAACTGGCTACAAGGGAAGAACCTGGAGGCAAATCTGAGGAAACCAGAGATAACATGAGTGATATTTTCATTACATGAATAATCACATTTCCAAACTTTCCTCCAGAGTAGCCAATGTATTCAATCAGTCAAGACATGTTTGGTCAAAGGTATGCTGTGCAGTTTGCAACATTTTGCCCATACTTTTGTCCAATCTGATGGTCATTGATATGTCATACAGTGCCAGAAACCACATAAGAGAGTCCATTTGAAGTTTACTTCATCACAGTGTGATTGTAGTTGGTTTGGGTGTAAGCTTCTACTGCTTGTAGGCTACATTAGCTTTGTAGTTCCAGTGCAAAACTAAAACCCAAATATGTCTTCGCTAGTTGAAATTTGTGGTAATTGAAAAATTGTAAAAACTATTTTTGCCAAACTAGTTTTTTTTTCCCACTTCATCTAAATTAGGTCAACGAAGAAGGATGGCTGTAATCTCATACAGCAGTGACCACTTAACCAGATTTCGCACACTAAATTTAAGGCCCCTGTTTCCATGACTACAGGGGGCCTCCTTTGGCATAATACCTTTTAATGCTCCTGGCCTGGCCCGAGATCCTAGGGGTCTTGTCCCAAATCTGCTTGCTCCTTTCACAGTAAGCCGGGTAACAGTTGTTGACATACATGTGTAAATGATGCAGTTTGGGGTCTGTTTACTGCAAATTACCATGACAGAGAGAGAAGTTGGTGGTGGTGGTGGTGGTGGTGGTGGTAGTGGGGGGTTAACATTGTGATACTGCTCCGAAAGGGGGAGATATTTCTGTGCAAACACTTATCCACATTATTTTTCATCTGTCATTATCCTAAGGACAGCCTTTAGCATGTTGAATGATCTGTCAGAAATATGGTATCCAGTCAAAAGTTTAATTGAATGTATGTTTTTCATAATCTTGACATTTTGCTCCAAAGCAGGTAGTGATTTTTGAAAAAGTTATCTTTTTTTTCCTACTTAATTGGAAAATTTTGAACCATGATCATTCTATCATCCTAATGACCATGTAATTACTTTTAATAACTACTTAATTACCAATTAATTAATAACGAATTACTAGTAAATTAGTTGACTGTACATCCTCATTTATGCATAGGTGCCAATCAGTTGTGTGGTTGGTAGGATAGGTCTAAAAAGCTCTACTTAGCCAAAGATCCATATTTTTGATTGGTGTAATTCAACATGTGGTATGTTTTTCACTGTTATTTCAAAATGTACACAATAATCAAAATAAGGAAAACACAGGTAACACTTTACTGTAAGGCAGTGTTCTTAAGGCTACATCACACCTACATAAACTCATTATGACAGTTGACTTAAACATACATAAACATTTGTAAAGGCTTATACCTAGGAAACAGTAATTATGGCCGAATACATTGTCCTAAATGTTTATAGTTACATATTGTATAATACATAAAAATATTGTCAATACATAAAAACTAACATATTTAGAACAGATTTTTTACATGTTTTTAAAACAATTTATAATAAATATTGATAAAGCAGATGGGATGGTGTAATTAAACGGTTCCTTGCTGTTACTGGTTGGCAATTTTCTTTATAGCATTTTTCTTTCAATATGTGTTGAGAAAAATTCATTTATTTAAATTAAGCTTTTTTGACAGCGCTATTTTGGCTCTAATGGCTTGTCTCAGTAATGCTGAGATTACTAACTGATCATCACATTGATTTATCAGTCTACTCAGGCTTTAGCAGAGCTCAGTAACACTAAGATTAATAACTGATCACATTGATTTATCAGTCTACTCAGGCTTTAGCAGAGTTCAGTAACACTAAGATTAATAACTGATCACATTGATTTATCAGTCTACTCAGGCTTTAGCAGAGTTCAGTAACACTGAGATTAATAACTCGTCACATTAATTAATCAGTCAATTTTAGTTTATAAATGTTTATGTTGGCCTATGTCAGTTGCCATGAGCAGCTCATAGCCTTATGAACACTGCCCAATGGTAAAGTATTACTAAAATCCCTCTTATGACTGGTTGTGTTTCAAAGGCGAAAGTGGAAAAGCAGACCTGCAGACTGAGCTCCTGCGATTTGATTTGAATGTGTCTCACAGGTGGATTATTAGGGAAATTTCCGTCCCACGAGATTCAGGCTGCTCTGTAACTCGCCTCCTTGCTGTTTACAATCATTCACAAACTTTCCAAAGACACAAAGGGTAGTAAATCAGGGTCTGACTGCTTAAAACGAATCAAAGGGAAAGACATTTGGTCTGTATTACTGTGGGTTGTGATACTGATGGGGTGTTGTTCTGCAGTATTGTTGTCTCTGACATCGTGCCTTGCTTTCTGTCTTAGGTTTGCCTCAGGTTTGCCCTCCCTGTGACCATGCAGTGGATGCGGATGGTATTCTGGAACACATATGCGCTAGCGAGTTTGGTAAGGACATCAAAATGACCTTTTTTTTTTCTCTGTAACACACACTCTCTCTCTCGTTGTGGTGAAAACTGAGATATCACGTTCAAGACAGCCAAAGGCCCTCTGCATTCCCACTGACATAGCATTGGTGAGAAAACCACTTGAATTTTAGGCCAAATCCCGCACCCACTGTAAATTATGCAGGACGTTCCAAGTATGAACTTTGAAAGTTGTCAAGCCAAGACTGATTGGTGGTGAACAAAAAAAGTAGCAGACACTTTCTTGAAGACTGAGTTTAGTCTGTACTTTTTGTCCAGCAAGTCCAACATTTATCCCTCCGTTCACAATTTTATATCGTTTTCATGTTTTCGTTTATTGATGTTCTTTCAATACAATACTCAATATTATTACACAACAACCATTGAGAATCTCTGTGGTGTCCACCAATCCTAGCTGCAAGCCAAACCACTGGTTTACAGACTACCAAATACAACCGAACTACCATTAGTGCAACAATTTCTTTTGTCATTGAACAAAATCATAAAGAAAAGCTTTACTTGAAGTAAAGTATAGATCTATAGCCTTGCTAACTTTAGCTGTTAGCTTGTAGTCCTCATGTGATGAGTCATTATTGTTGTGGTCGTTTTGATTGTAATGATGATTTGTTACCATGGTTACATGACTACAATGACACAAAAAATTGCTATCCTCTAAAAATCCACCCCAAAGCAGTTGTAGTCCTTCAAAATTTGCCCCTTTTAATGATACATCATCAGAAGGGGGTTTCCAAGTCCTTCAACTGGAAAATCTCACTTTAGAGGCAACATCTGTGGCGATTTTTACGTAACACATCTCAATATGGTTTAAGGTACGCAGTTTGCACAGTGCTAATTGCCATACATAAGCCTCCCACTTTTTAGCTTGTTAGCCTTGTAGCAGTACAAAGAAGCAAACGTGTCTTGGCTGATCTACATTTGTGGTAAGGGGAAAACTGTGTAAATGTCATTTCACTTCGCCAGCTGAAAACGTTTCAACTGAAATTCCCAGCGTGAACTGACTAGCGTTTTTCCAGATTTTTGTCTGGAAGCACATTTATCCTATATTGCAGCCTGCATCCGTGCAGTGCCTCGACCAGTCACCAGTGGATATATAGACGTGGGATAAAGAAACTGCTGAGTAAAGGTTCCTTTCTTCCATTTACTGGATGACACGGGCCTTCCCGTAGCTCATGCTTCACAGTTTACCAGCTGAGGTTTAGTTAGCAGTCATGCGGAAAGCGGAATGCCTCCTGAATTACAGTTGGGGGGCGGTGGTAGTGGTGGTGGGAGGGGGAGGGAGGTTATGACCGCATTAGTGCAAAGTCTCACGCTCACGAAAGAGGCCGACTGACCCGAACAGAAAGGTAACACACAGTAAACTTGGGTTCCAAGTTGGTAGAGTCAACATTAGCGGTTAGCGAAAGGTGTTGGCTAACGATCGGCTTGTATGTTTACACACACTGTCAAAAGTTTGGGCACACCCTGTCTATTCAAATGTTTCAGAACAATGTTGGGTCTCCAATTAAGGCAGCCATGTGCTAATCCTTTGTGTATATTTAGCTTCGTGTTCATCCAAGTGTCTTTCTTGGCGTGGAGAACAGGTTTTACCCGAATAACGATTTAATATTTTTTTTTCCAAACTATCATTAAAAGCACTGTAAAACTTTGTGGCCCTAAAACTAGTGAAAGGTTTGAGTGCTGAGTAGCGCTGACATCACCCCATATAGAAGAGAAGTACAATATGCAGAATGCAAAGGTCTAACCATCCTGGCTGAAATGACATGTTTTGTTGATCTTCTGAAAATCAACAGTAAAAATATGCTAAGTAATTTTTTTTATTTGCTGAGTTTAACATTGGAAAGAATTAAACAGAAATATGAAATGTGCCATTAATTTGTTTTTTATGTTTATGTTTTTCCCCCAATATGTAAACTTCAGCATATAATTATTTATACATTAAAATTTGTGCAGAAGTTTGTTCTCTGCAACTAGAAAATCAACAAAACATCATTTGATAAGGGGTGCAAAACTTTTGCACATAAGCATATCGCTGTTGTTGGAAGAAAACCTTGTATCTCCAAAATGGTAACTTCACAGGAGAAGAAAAAACCTACTTTACTTTTAATGTAAGCCAATGGAGCCAGACTTTTTTCCAAATCATTTTAGGTCATTTAGTCCATTCATCAAGAAATTTACACACAATGTAAAGGGTAACATGTATTTTCAAATTATGTCAAAAACTGAAAAACGTCAAAAACGGAGAAGGTTTTTCTTCCGACAACAGCGAAATGATGGAAAAACATTTTATTATATTCCAAAACATTTCCATATATGTCAATATATTGAACTACATACACTTGCGTGCTGTGTCTGATCCACTCATACCAGTGCAACACACACTAACACACCACCACCACATCAGTGTTGCTGCAGTGCTGAGAATGATCCACCACCCAAATAATACCTGCTCTGTGGTGGTCCTGTGGGGGTCCTGACTATTGAAGAACAGGGTAACAAAGTATACAGAGAAACAGATGGACTACAGTCTGTAACTGTAGAACCACAAAGTGCACCTATATGGTCAGTGGAGCTGATAAAGTGGACGATGAGTGTAGATGGTTTTAATGCTATGGCTGATCGCTGTTCAGAACGCATAGAGAATATGAAATATCTTTTAAAAAACATTTTGGATTTTGCCCAGTGGCCTCATGCATAGCTGTCAAAAGATCCATTTTTACTGCAGAACAAGACGACGGTCCTCGATGCTTAGAATAACAGCTGCAGGTCCTTTTCAGCCCTTGTAAATCCATGTCACGGTTTGGATGACCCTTTAAGAGGCCACTACTCTGTAACTAATGAATTGAGGTAATTCACATGGGTCCTACAGCTTTTATTTGGCTGTCGCTGGGAGCCGTAAATTGGGATGTTTGTTTTCCTGTCTGGCCCAATGGACGTGACAACAGTGCCAGAGCTGACCTCTGCGCAGGGGTCAACTCGGTCCCTGCTGATTCAGGGAAAAGCTGGGGACGTTCATTATATACACTCTTAAAAGTGCCAGAAAGGGTTCTTTGGAGTGATGCCATCCTAAAGGATAATTCAATGGACGGTTCTTTAAAGAACAATTTTTGTAAATGAAATATGTGAAGAACTTTTTCAAAATTTAATATAAAGGTTCTACACCAATTCAAACATTCTCCATTTTATACTAATTAACAATCTACCAATTTAGGAACCTTTATTTCTTAGAAAGCCTATAAATGAATGACAAATGATTAATAATGTAATTGTTAAGTACAATTGGTGCACACCAACTTAAAAAAAGGTACCTTGAATGTTCTTTCATAAAAGCAATGGTTCTACATTTTTAAAGAAAGAACAATGTTGGTATTCGTGTAAAACCATTTTTGTAAAGAGATTTGTGAACTGTTTACAGAATGATTTTCTAAAGAACCATCCATGGAAACTGGTTCATACATGGCATTGTGCAAAGAACCCTGGTTTGGCATCTTTGAATGAATGTTTAAATGGTTCTTTGGATAATTAAGCGATTCCTCTCTATGAAGAAAAACCTGTTGTCCTGTTTTTCTACATAAGACCAAAAAGGATTCTATTATTTTTACATGTCAAATAATAATTTTGGTACTATATAGATTTCAAGTTGCAAAGTGTGCAGCTCTACGTATTGCTGAGATCCACAAATGCAAAAAGTTTAACTTTTAATATCCATCTCAGCAATTATGTAATGTTATAGCTTTTTTTGCTAGTCCTCTTAAATACAATAGAAAACCTTGCAGTTTTCCAGATTTGCAGTTTGGAAATAAATAAAAGAATCAGATGAACCTACAACTTGCAGCATATTTTTCCAACTCAGCGCAAATCTTTAGACCTTTTGCCTTTCACTGCCGCTTTGTTGCTTTTCTTATGCCGTCTTTTTTCTCCTTTTGCTGCCAAGGTTTTCCGAACTAGCATGTGCGAGGGCTTAGCCGTCCAGACCTTCTGCATTAGTGCTCGTTCCAGCCTCCCTCCTGCTTTCTTGGGAAAGCAAAAAAGCAGCCCGTGTCTCAGTGCTAAAAACAGTCAATCAATCACTTGCCCTGGCGGCACATTCCATTCTGGTCTACCTGGTTCTGGTGTACCACGCAAACGATGGCACATTAACGACCCTCTTTCCTCCATAATTAAGACGAATGGTGTTTTGGTTTCTAGTCACAATAGCGTTTTTGGCTCGATATCAGAGTTAACCCAGGCAGTCGGAGTGATGCTTACTGACAATGGCTGTTAAACGAGTCCATAACTGTGGCCATTAGGGCCCGTCCCAGCGGGAGTTACCTCAACAAAAGGAGGGCACTGCACCAGGCGCTTCCTGCTCTCCTCCCAAGAGGGAAACAAATGCTGGTTTTGGTTAGCCTCTTACAAAAACCGTAAAGCCTCATTCAGGCAGGGATTCCAGTGGACTAAGCCATCTTTTGGTCAGAGCTATCTTTTCTCTGGACAGCTTTGTGGAAGCCAGGCCTGCTGGCAACCCCCCGACAACCCCCTCAGTGACCTCTGGGTTGGGCTCTGAAGCAGGCTATTGTCAGCAGCCGAATGGAGAGAAAGCAAGAGTGGAGTACAAGTAACTCGTGATGAATTGTCAGTGTTGACCCGTCACCTGGATTGTGTTATAGCTGAAGGAGAAAGAAGATTCATGCTTAAATAAGAGCACTGCTAGCTGTAGTGCTGAATCACTTGAAAACAAGAAAAAATATTGCTAAAGGAAAGTACTCAGGTTAGGGTACATTAACAGCGTATTGGTAAAACTCTCCCCTCTTCTGATGATGCATCTTGAAGGTTGGGGTTAACTTTTGAAAAACTACAACTGTTGTGGTCAGTTTTTTTGGTTGGCCAGTTTTAATTTTTCCATTTTCTGGTGAAAGCAGTCCGTGCTAGCATTACTGCCAAGAAGCCAAACACATTACTGCAGCCATACAACTGCCGTAACTG